TATGTCTGTATCAAAAAATCATGTGTGCCCTAAAGATATACAACTACTATGTACCCATAATTTTTTAAAGAAACTACTATAACTCAACAACAGAAAAACAAACAACACAATTCAAAAGTGGGTAAAAGACTTTAAAGAGAGATTTCTTTGGAAAAGATATACAATTGGCCAATAAACACATGAAAAGATTCTCAATATCTCCAGTCATCAGGGAAATTCAAATCAAAACCACAAGGAGTTATCACTTGATACCCATTAGGATGGCTATTACACAAAAAACACAAAATAACAAGTGTTGGCAGGATGTGGAGAAACTGGAACCCTCACACATTGCTAATGGGAATGTCAATGGCATAGCTGCTGTGGAAAACAGAATGGCAGTTCCTCAGAAAGTTAAATGTAGGATTACCATATGACCCTGCAATTCTACTGCTAGGTATGTATATACACTCAGAATGGAAAGCAGGACTCAAACAGATACTTGTACACCAATGTTCATAGTAGCACTATTCACAATAGCCAAAAGGTAGAAATGACCCAAATGTCCATCAACATAAGAATGGATTAACAAAATGTAGTATATACATTACAATGGAATATTATTCAGCCATAAAAAGGAATGAAATTCTGATATATGTTACTACATGAATGAACTCTGAAAATACTGTGTTTAAGTGAATTGAAATAAATCAGACATGAGAGGACAAATATTGTATGATTGCTCTTATATGAGATACCCAAAGGGCAGCTTTTAAGATGAAAGCAGAATAGAGGTTACTAAGGGATTGGGGGAGGGAGTCTAGGAAGTTTTTATTTCATGGGTGCAGAATTCCTGCCTAGAATGATGAAAAATTTCTGGAAACTTCTGGAAATGGATATAATGCATGACATTGTGAATATGCTGTTCTTACTGGTACTGAATCATTTACTTAAAAATGGTAAAAATGGCATATGTTATGTATATTTTACCACAATAAAAAAAAAATACTGGGGCCAGGCGCGGTGGCTCACGCCTGTAATCCTAGCACTCCGGGAGGCTGAGGCAGGTGGATAGCTCAAGGTCAGGAGTTCGAGACCAGCCTGAGCA